AGAACACAGCTTCCTGCATACAGAGTGCAAACACCAGTCTTTAACCTGGAAAGAGCAGGTCAGCCCCCGGAATTCCCACAATTCAGTGACCTGATACGTTTTTATTGAGCACCTACTGCACACAGAATTGTGAACATATTTGTGACTGTGTTCACAAGCACTGTCCTGCTCTCATCAGCTTCTAACAAGGGAACCTCAGCCACCCCAAGGCTAAGACCCCCGGGACTGCCCCAGGGAAGGGTTGGGTCAAATGGAGAAGGGAGCAAGTGCAGGATGGGAGCAGAACACCCTGTTCTTCGCTTGCTCAGCATCCGTTCTCTGTTCTACTAGCAGCACCCTCAATTTCCTTTGGGAGATACATTAAAATCTTCGAAGCGACTGTTGTCTGTCACTACAAGTGATTCTGAGGGATCGAACCCATTGATGGTAAGTGTTACACACAGAAGAGGAATCTAGTTGGGATATAACCAGAAAGGCGCTGGGCTTAGAGTCCGGAGACCTGGGTTCGAATCCTACCTCTTCCATTTACTAAGAGAGCTATCGGCATGTTTTCTTTAGTCCTCTGGTTAGCAGGTTGAGTTTAACATACTTCAGGGCATAGTAAGACCATCATCCGTCTGCAGACCCCCATCTAGGACCACTCTCTGGTTCATATCCTAGGCTGTGTCTGTATCAAGACCTGCATCCCCTGGGTAACCTCCATTTCCATGTGCCACCATCTGCTGGCCACATCCTTTTTTTTTTTTTTTTTTAAGATTCTGTTTTTATTTCAGAGAGAGCAAGGAAGAGAACACAAAGAGAGAGGGAGAAGCAAACTCCCTGCTGAGCAGGGAGCCCGATGTGGGACTCGATCCCAGGACCTCTGGATCATGACCTGAGCCGAAGGAAGACACTCAACTGAGCCACTCAGGTGCCCTGACCGCATCCTATTTTTTCAACCTACTCTCTCTGGCACAACCAGCAATGGCTCCTAAAATGCACCCATCCTACCACTTTTCCAGGGCTCGTCACACCTCCTGCACTTGGCCCTCACTTCCTCTTCGCCCCACCCAGATTGCATGGGCCAGCATGGCAACCAATCCCTTGCCTACAGCTCAGCTCCCTTGGCCCTCTCTAGCTTCCTCAGATTTGCCAGGCAAATCCCCAATCTTGGCCAGACCATGCTCTCTCTCTCTCAAGCCCTGGGGTGAGGGATTCCCCTCTTCTCAAATCCCAGTACCTTCACCCGTTCCCCCACTCCTCACTATGAGCTGGTGACATGGCTTCCTGTTTCTCTGGGAAACCAGACGCTCCCATCATTTCACCTGTACACTCCACCTTCGTCAGAGGGACTGTTCCTGCTCCTGTGCAATGCCAACCCTCCACCTGTGCACTTGACCCCACACCCCTTCAGGCCTCAAGAACTCACTCCCATTGTTCCTTCTCTCTGTGTCATCAGTTTCCTCTCTCTCCTGGATTATTCCTATCAGCAGACACAGATGGTCTAAAAGCTCCCAGCCTTAAAAAAAAAAAAAAAAAAAAAGAAAGAAATCTTCCCTGGATCCCACACCTTTCTCCAGAGTCTGCCCCATTCTCTGTTCCTTTTACAGCAAAATTCCTTGATGGAGTTGCCCTCTGCTCCCATGCTTGTGCATCGCTCATATGTCACACATCGTGCCCCGTTGGGCATTTGTCCCCACCACATCATGAGACTGCTCTTGCCAGAGATGCCAGTGACCTCCACGTGGCCAATTTCAAAGTCAATTCTCAGTCCATAGCTTAGCTGACCTATCAGCATCGCCAGAGCTCCCCAAGCTCCTGCTCCCGAAATGCTTTCTTCTCTGGCCTCCCAGACACCTCTCCGGGTGTGTCGGCCTCCTTCCAGGCCACTCCTAGCCTCCTTTCCTGCTTCTCCTCCCCTCCCTGACCTCTGTGCCTGGCAAGCTCCGAGGCTCAGCCCTCTTCTCTTTCCACACTTCCCTTTGGGGAATCCCATCTAGATGACTGGCTTTAAAAATCGCCCACTTTTGGGGCGCCTGGGGGGCTCTATTGGTCAGGTGTCTGCCTTCGGCTCAGGTTGTGATCCCAGTGTGTGATCCCTGGGATCCAGTCCCGGGTTGGGCTTCCTCCTCAGTGGGGAGCCTGCTTCTCCCTCTGCCTCTGCTGCTCCCCCTGTTCATTATCTGTCTCTCTCTCTCTCTTTCACATAAATAAATAAAATCTTTTAAAAAAATCATCCACATTTTGCTGATTCTCAAATGTCTATGTCTAGCTCTTACTTTGCTGCATGCAGGCTCAGGGGGACACCCGGATGTCCCACAGGCATCTCACAACTAACATATCCACAACTGAGGTCCTGATCGCCCTGCAAACTCTGCCCCTTCCAGAGTCTTCTCGTATCAGTCAATGACAACTCCATCCTACTGGCTGCTTGCTCAAAACTTTGGGGGTGATTCTTGGTTCCTTTTCTTGTTTTTGCAAACCCCCACATCCAGTCAGAAAATCATGTTGGCTTTACCTTCAGAATATGTCTGGAGCCTGAGCACTTGTCTCCATCTCTACCTGACTATCCTGGTGTCACATTCCCTCTCTCCTGGATGACAGCAACAGCCTCCCAGCTGGCCTCCCTGCTTCTACTCTGGTCTCCTCTAGTCCAACCTTCACACAGAATGAAAGAAGGTCAGCCCTTCTTACCGAAGGAGGGAAGAATAGCCCCCCCCTCCTGGCCCCATGAGCTCTTCCCATAGGCCCCTCACACTGCCCCTCACACTCTCCCCACTGGCTGCGCTCCCTCCAGCTGGCCTCTTCTCTGTTGCTTGAATGAACCAGCTGTGCTCCTGCCTCTTGATCTTTTCTCTGGCTGTTCCTTCTTTCTGGAATGCTCTTACCCCAGATACTGGTGTGATTGCTATCTTACTCTGAGTCAGGTCTCAGCTCACACATTTCCTCTTCTGTGAGTCCCTTTTTTTTTTTTTTTTAACTATCTGATGTAAAGTAGCAGTCACCTCTACAACTCCTTATCACAGGAAGCTATTATACTTTTCACAGCACTCATCATTATCTGAGCTAATCTTATTTATTTCTTTGCTTGTGTATTGTCTGCTTTCCCAACCAGAATGAGAGCTGTATGGTGGTGGGAACTCTGCCCTCAGTGCTAGCACTGAGCTTACCACATGGCTTCCAGGGCTGCCATGGAAGGTCGTAAAGGTCGTTCACTGCACTAGAGCTCCTGGCTGATGGGGCAGGTGCAGACATCCAGCCTGTTCTCTGCTCTCCCCGCGCTGGGGGCATCCAGCAGGCTGCTTTCTGCTGTTTTGCAGTGCATGCTGTATGGGCTGGTTGTGGCCTTCAATAAATATTCACTGAATAAATGACTGACTGATGGATGTGCAGACCATTACTTGCTTTCTTCTGTGAGTCTTCATCCAAATTACCTTCTTGGGGCCTTATTTTCTTCATCTGTTAAAAGGATAATTAACATCTATCTCAGAGTTATGAGGTTTAAATGAAATAGTTCATTAAAAATCTGGCACAAATATGATTAGAATTGTACGAAATATCCAGAACAGTCAAATGCACGGAGACAGAAAGTAGATTAGTGGTAGCTGGAGGCTGGAGGGATGAGGAAATGAGGAGTGACTACTTACTTAATGGGTTGGGGTACCCTTCTGGTGTGATGCGAGTGTTCTAGACTGGTTAGAGAGCTGTTTGCACAAGGTTCGGAATGTACTACATGCCTCTGGACTGTGCCCTGAAAACGGCTAATTTTTTTTTTTTTTGTGAATTGGATTATGTTATACGAATACCATAATTAAAAAAGAACCAGCACAGGGCCTGGGACTGGTAGGTTCCAGGTGGGGACTGGTAGGTGTTCAATGAATAGCTTCTGAATCCTGTGATGTCCTTGATTCAAAAATCAAAGCAAGACCCCAGGGCAGCCCCAGTGGCTCAGCGGTTTAGCGGCGTCTTGAGCCGGGGGTGTGATCCTGAAGTCCCCGGATCAAGTCTCACCTCGGGCTCCCTGCATGGAGCCTGCTTCTCCCTCTGCCTGTGTCTCTGCCTCTCTCTCTGTGTCTCTCATGAATAAATTTTAAAAATCTTAAAAAATAAAAAAAAAGAGTCACTGGAGCTGGGGCCTGAGTGATGAGTTGGCCTGGGAGGAATCAAGCAGGTGGGAGATGGACATGTGGGAGAAGGGGCTGGAGGGAAGGGCTGGGCTCAGAGCCCGGGAGAGGAGAGCACGGTGGGTCCTAGGAATAGAGAATATTCTGGTGCGGCTGGAGCAGTGTGCCAGGTGGGTGCCAGACTAGGCAGGAGAGTTCGGAGGGGGCCATCTGCAGGAGTCCCAGGTATTCCAGGTCCTTGGTTCTGTGGGCCCCACTTCCAAGCCCCGCAGCAGGTCTTGCCCTGGCTGTGCCCTGTGGCTCCCCGTGAAGGCTTGTGCTTCGTGGCTTAGCTCCTAACACGTCCTCCTTTAAGCATTTACTGAGCCTGCCCCGCATCAGGTGCTGGGAACCCTGATGTCAAAACCCGGCCCCTGTGAAAAAGCTCCTGCAGAAGGTGGGGCTTGGGGGGTGGGAAGATTGGGGGGTGGCGTGGGGTGTGTGTGTGTGAGGAGCGGGGGTGGGGGGGGTGGGGAGGGCTAGTCTGGGAGGACCTAATGCCCCAGGAAGGTGACTCTAGAGCTGGGTCTTAAAGGCCAGGAGGCACCAGGCCTGGAGCTGAGGAGTAAGGCGACAGGTTCAGAGCTCAGCTCTGTGGGCTCCCCAGGATCCTTGCGACCAGACGCAGCCTAGAAGCCTCCATTCAGGTCAGGGCTCAGGCACACAGCAGACCTCAAGGGCACAGGTAAGTTCCCCCAATGACCTCCCCCCCACCCCGCCCCACCCCCAGCGTAGGCTCGCACACATTTTTGCAGGCAGTTCAGCGTGTCCTTGGCCAGGCGGCTTTGCTGCCAGGGAGGAGCTCCCCACCCCCCTCCTTCTCTGGACTTTGCACCTGTCACGGGAAACTCACTGGCACATCAGGGCTGGGAGCCCGAGCAGACGCCTGCTGAGGTGCCTGCCCGCCCCTTCTAGGGCCCGCGGCACCCCTCTCGGATCCCAGCACCGCCCCCCGCGCCCCCTCCCACCCCCCTGGCTTCCCACCCTCCGCCCCGGGGGTGGGGGTGGGACCTGCGCCCAGAGGGTCCCCGCCACAGCTCGGGAAGGAGTGTACTCCCGAGCCCTCCCACTTGGAGACGTTGCCGGCGCCCCGCCCTCCGCCCGCACCTGCGGATTCGGCCCCGCCCGCCGGCGGCGTCCCCAGGTGAGTCAGTGGCCCGCCCACCTGTCCAGGTCCTGCCCGCTCCAGCCGGAAGCGTCCTCCCTGGACTGTGCACAGTTCCTACAGGTGGGGAGCAGAGGGGGAGACCCTGGGGGGCCTGAGAGGGGGATCCCGCAGATCCCTGAGGGCTCCTGGGAGCTTTGAAAGGAGCCACAAATCAGGGGTGTATGTCTGGTAGATCAGAGGGTGTGTGTTTGTGGATGGAAGAGACAGATGTGACCTGTGGGGGTAGGGTGACAGCCTGTGGAGGTGTGTGTGTCCTTGAGAAGAATTCACAGGGAGAGGGCAGGAAGGAACGAAGTAGGAGTAAAATCTTAGAGAGGTCAGTATGAATACAATTCATTTCCATTGATCAAAATCTTATTTTCTGAGGATCCAGTGCCTAGTGTGGGGCCCAGAGTAGGCCCCCAGTGAGTGATGAGTGACGGAGCTCGCCTTTCTAACGCTCCCCTCTTCACTCTCCAGCTGTCCCCTACTCTGACCCGCAGCGAACCCCTGAGCACCCGGCTCTCTGCCAGCACCGGGGGACACATTAATCAGCCCGGTCCTTGGCCCCAGGCAGCTGCCCAGCTAGTCACTGGCTGATTCTGATGGGCAGTTGACTGGGTAGGCCAGGGAAGGGGTCATGGAAGGGGGGTGGTCCTGGGACAACCTCACAGGCAGGTGTGGTCTGATTTGGCCATCAGGGATGGGGAACTCAAAGTACAGAGGAGGGGGTGGGTGGCAAACAAGCGGGTGGGTGACGGGGGTGGGGGGGTTGTGTGCATGTGAGTGCATGTGTGTGTGTGTGTGGAGCATGGGGGAGGGGACTGTGGACAAGAGGACGAGTGGGTCAGAGGACATGTGCTGGGTTGTGAGGCCTTGAAGAATATGCTGAGGAATCTCTGTGCAGCCCAGAGGGCCTGGGGAGCTCTGAAGAATTTTTAAGAGTGGGGGAGTGATGGGGTCAGATGGGGGCGTTAGGCCCATCACCCTGAGGAATGGATGGAAAGTGGGAAAAGACAGGGTTAGGAGGTCATGCAGGAGCTGAGGTACAAGATGAAGGTAGCTTGGACGGGGACAGTGGCAGTGGGGTGCAGAGGAGGGTCAGAGCCATTCTAGAGATATTTAGTTCCAGGAAGAACTGATGGGGCTTGGTGACAGGTTGGAGGGGAGGGAGGAGGGTTTCATTAAGACATCTGTATCAAAGTATGTGGGAGGTACTCCCCTAAATGAGATGCTTCTCTCCTAGGTGCTTTTCTAGCCTGGATGCTTCTTCCCAGGTACTCCTCTGATTCAGGTGCTCCACTTGCAGATAATCTCCAGGCCTAGCTGCTCCTCTGACAGGTACTTCCCTAACCTAGGTGCTCTTCCTCTAGATACTCCTCAGATTCAGGTGTTGCTCCCCCAGACATTCCTCTGATTCAGGCACTCCCCCATAGGTATTCTCAAGCCTAGATGATCTTCCTCCAGATACTCCCTTAATTCAGGTGCTCCTCCTCTAGCTCCGCCCTAGCCCTAGTAGTTCTTATCCAGATGATTTCCTGATCCAGATGATCCACAGTTGGCTCCTCCCTGAAAACTGCCTCCCTCTTGAGGGCAGACAGAGGTCAATGGACAAGGGATGTGTCTGAAGAGCTGAGGGTCAAGGTGGGGAAGCAGGAGCTCCTGACTGAGGAGGAGCGGGTCCCCTGCCCACCTAGGGACTGGCGCTGTCCTCTACATGTGGTCTCTACTTTGGTTCATTAGCTTGAAGCAATTGCTATTGCCTAACCCCTGGGCGCCAGAACTGCCTCTGCCCCACGTCCCAGCCTCTGCCCACCAAGCAGTGTAGCAGCCTGGGTCTGGGCCCTGGTATCAGAGACCTGGGTTCAAGTCCTGGGGCTTTGGCTGAATTAGTTCACTGTTCTGGGCCTCAGGGTCCTCATCTACAGAGAGGGGATAATGTTTATCCCCATATCACAGGGTGCCGTGAGCACATGCCTGGTGCCTGAATCACACATGGTGCTTAGTAAGTTCCAGTGTTGATGTTTTTCAGGAGCTTGCAGAGCTGGATCCTATAGCATTCCCTTACAAGTAGCCAATTTCCAGGTACTCAGCTTATTTCCCTTTTGTGCATGACTGGTTCTGGTCAATTGTTCCGCGCCCTAACGTGGCCGTGAGTCTGCCCTTTAATGTGCTCCTGCGGCCTCCCGGACACCCACGTGCATGTGTATGTTCTAGGACTCTGAGCTCCAGGGCTGCCTGGCATCTAGGGGTTTCCTTGAGCCCCAGCTCTTCTGGCAGAAGCTGAGGCTCACCGGCGTCTTCAGGCCTCTCGATGAGTGAGCTGAACCAAAGTGAGTGAGTGGGAAGGAGGCCGAGGAGGCGGTTGCAGGGAGGACCCTGTCCCCACTGGACCTTTCGGTTTCCCCAGGGAACCCATCTGGGGCCCCCAACCCTAATGCTGTCCCTTTCTCTGCAGCCACTGTGGGGCCCTCAGCATCAGCCGTGTCCCCTGCACTGGCCACCGGGGCCCGGGCATGGCCTGTGTTGGTCGGGGTTGTGCTGGGCGCTGTGGTCCTCTCCCTCCTCATAGCGCTTGCTGCCAAATGCTACCTCTGCCGCAAATATCATACCAGCTACCAGCACCACCAGCTGCCCAGGATAGGGAAGGCAGCCTTCCCGGACGTGGGTGAAGAGGATGATGATGGCTTCATCGAGGACAATTACATTCAGCCCGGGGCTGGTGGGCTGGAGACAGAGGGGAATAGGGACAACTTTTCCTTCTGAGCCCTGATTTTGGACACCCCCTCCCCTCCCCATACCTGACAACTTGAGGGTGGAGGATACCACGTGGAGGCCACAAGCCTCGGGGCCAGAGGTGTCTGGGGCTTAAGGGCTAACCATGGGTAGAGCGATCCTCCCTTCCCTGACGCTAGCACTACAGTGATAAACCTTCTCTTGCTCCATCACCCTCAATGGCTCCCTGCAGTTCTCAGGACAACTACCAAGGGCCTGGCTGGAGAAATAGGGCCTCTGTCAGCCTCTTGGTTCCCTTAGTTGCCTTTCTCAACTTCACTCCCTAGAAAACTCGTTATTTGTTACTCCTTTTCTCTTGCAAGGTGTTTTCCCATTCACTTCTTGCTTACTCTGTCTCCCTGGCTTACACTGCCCTTCTGTTCTCTCAAATCATCCATGACAGAGGGCACTTGGGCAGCTCAGTTGGTTGTGCAGCTGGCTCAGGTCATGATCTCAGGGTCCTGGGGTGGAGCCCACATCAGGTTCCCCCACCGGGGATTCTCTCTCCCTCTGCCCCATCCCCTGCTTGCTCACACATATGTGTGTGCGCGTGCAAGGTCTCCCTCTCTCTCTCTCTCTCTCCCCCCCTCAAATAAATAATCTTTTTAAAAAAATCCTCTATGACAGTGATGAAATCCCTGGCCAACAGACCCCCTATGGCCCGCCTACCTGCCAACATTTCAGACGTACCGAGATGATGACATTTTAGTAGGTAAAATCCAGTGTGCCAAGTATCTTGTTGAAATTTTTTCAATAAAGTGAGTGATTGAAATGGTTATATTACATTTTTCACAGGTACTAATTAAACCTATTTTTGTCTTAAATGAAAGTAAAAAGGAGTCACTGATTTTTATTTTCCTGAATTGGGACTTGTGCATAAAAGTGTCCCTTGTCGCTGGAAAAGACACTGCTCGCGCAGCCCCTCCTCCGGAGACTTGCTCCCCACTCCCAACACCCTGTGAGTTCCTCTGCCTTTCTCTGGTCCCCGTTGATTTTAATCTGCATTAGAGTTTGCACGTCCCCCTTGCTGTGCGGGTCCCCACGGCTAGACTGTGAACTCCCTGAAGCCACAGGCCGTGTCTAGTTTTGTGTCCTCATTCTTGTCCATGGCAGATGCTAAATAAATAAATGTCAAGCTTGTACTGCAGACTGAGGAGTGAGTAGATGAAAGGTGAGGGAATGAGTCGAATGTAGGAGACTTTATCAAGAGCTGATGATGATGAGGAGGACAGGCTCATCCTTGCTGGGGAGATTGGGGCAAGGGAGGCAGTTTTGTCCTGTTCTGTGTGTCTGTGTGTGTGTGTGTGTGTGTGTGATTCAACAATTCCATACGTTACTCAGTGCTCATCATGACAGGTGTACTTTTTTTTTTTTAAAAAAGATGTTCTTTATTTATTCATGAGAGACACAGAGAGGTAGAGACACAGGCAGAGAGAGAAGCAGGCTCCATGCAGGGAGCCCGACCTGGGCCTCGATCCCAGGACCGTGGGGTCACGCCCTGAGCCAAAGGCAGAGACTCAACCGCTGGAACCATCCCATGACAAGTGTACTCTTAATCCCCATCCTCCATTTCCCCGCATCCTCCCCCCTGGTAACCATCAGCTTGTTCTCTGTAGTTAAGAGCAGGTTTCTTAGTTTCCCTTTTCCCCCCTTTGTTCATTTGTTTCTTAAATTCCATGTATGAGTGAAATCATATTTTACTTATCTTTCTCGGACTGACTTATTTTGCTTAGCATTATACTCTCTAGATCCATCCTTGTCATTGCAAATGGTAAGATTTCATTCTTTTTTATGGCTGAGTGATATTCCATTATATACATATGGTATGTATGCATATGTACCCCTTCTTTATCCACTCATCTATCAGTGGACACTTGGGCTGACTCCGTAATTTGGCTGTTGTAAATAATGCTGCAATGAATATAGGGGTGCGTGTATCCTTTTGAATTCTTTGGGTAAAAATACTCAGTAGTGTGAATGCTGGCTCATACGCTAGCTCTATTTTTAATTATTTTTCAGAAACCTCCACACTTTTCCACAGAGGCTGCACCAGGTTGCATTCCCACCAATAGTGCACGAGGGTTTCCCTTTCTCCACATCCTCTGTATCCTTTTGTGTTGTTGACTTTACCCATTCTGACAGGTGGGAGGTGATAGCTCATGACCTTTTGATTTACATTTCCCTGATGATGACTGATATTGAGCATCTTTACATGTGTCTCTTGGCCATCTGTATGTCTTCTTTGGAGAAATGTCTTTTCCTATCTTCTGTAAAATTAAAAGACAACCCACTGAGTGGAAGAAGAGGTGTGCAAATGACATATCCAATAAAGGGTTAGCATCCAAAATATATAAAGAAGTTATATAACGAGATACCAAAAAAACCCAAATAATCCAACCAAGGGAGGCAGATTAAAGAAGGGAGAAATTTAAGCTTCTTTTGGTCGCAAACAATGGGAAGAGAATTAAAGGGACAACGGACTCAGGAGGGCAGGAAGCAGAGGGCTCCAGCAGCTTGAGGACAGGAACAGTATCTCTCATGCTCTGTCACTTGTGGGCATTCATGAGACTCCATGCCTGGGACTCCCGAGTTCTTGGTTCCAAGTTTCAAGTACTCAGCAGGGGGGAAGGGGGGGGAGAATGTCAGAATGCCATCAGCCCAATTTGGGTCAAGTACCTACCCAGCTATGAATGGGTAGCTCCTGCTGTGCGGATGTGACTTCGGTGCCTGCCTGTTTGTTCAGGTCATTCCCAGACAAGAGGGAGTCCTCAGGAGCCGGGTGGCCACCCCACATGTGGCCACTGGCTGCAGTGCTAGCCTTTGAGAAAAGAGCAAGCCGAGAAGAAAGGGGAGGGCAGGACTGATACAGGAAGGAGGTTGAGAGAAAGGCAGGGATCGAGGGGTGCCCCGGGCAGTGATGAAGCTGGAGGGAGGGTCAGATCAGCGAGGGCTTTGGTGCCAAGGCAGCTTGCACTTCAACATGAGAGCAGCTGGGGCTTGTCTGTGGACTTTTTGGGCCAGGGAGTGATGTAATCGTGATAGAAAAGTCACTCTGGATGCTGTGCCAATGGGTTGGAGGGGAGAGCCCCAGAGAGAGGTGATAAGACTTGCCTAGGGTGTGGCAGGGAACAGAGAGATTCCAGAGACACGAGGGAGGCAGCATTGGCAGGCTTGCTGCTGCCAGAAGTGGGGAGTAGGAAGGAGGCACCGAAGTGGCCCCGGTATCTGGTTGGGTGGCTGGGTGCACTGACGAGGGGCTGGCTGTGGGTGACCGTGGAGTCCATGCCTGATGTGCGGTTTCCAGGCGCAGAGGCTGGCTTCTGCTCATCTTGAAGGGGAAGCTTGCCAAGCCTCCCTCCTCCTCATTCACTCTGGGCTGGAGATTTAGATGTGTCTGCATCCCAGGATTCAGGTCAGAAGATCCGGTGAGGGGGCACCTGGGTGGCTTAGTCAGTTAAGCGTCCGACTCTTGATGTCAGCTCAGGTCATGATCTTGGAATTGTGAGATCGAGCCCCCTGTCCAGCTCCACACTCAGCCCAAAGTCTGCTTGAGATTCTTTCCCCCTCCCCTTTCCTCTCCCTCCTTGTATGGCTAAATGTGTGCACACACATGTGTGCTCTCCCTCTCTCTCTCCCTCTCTCTCTCTCATGAATGAATGAATGAATGAATGAATAAATAAATAAATAAATATAAATAAAATCCTTAAAAAAAAAGATCCCGTAAGGACAGCAAAGGACTTGAATCAGGATCTCTGATCCTGTAGAACATGGTAACAGTAACAACATCAACAATTATGACACTGAAGCTCTAGCGCTTTTTTATGACAGCCCCGCTGGGCGGGCACCCCCATTTCATAGACTGAGAAGTTGAGGCTCCCACAAGTTAACTGCAACTTGCCCACTTCACTCAGCAACTGCACCACAATCTCACCCCAAAGTACCGATCATTGGTCTTGGTAGCTGGACTTGCTCCCAGCCTGCCCAGGCTGGCACTCTCCTCCCCCAAGGGAGCGGGAGCTGAGACGTTTCAGGGTGCAAGCTGCAGGTTTGGGAGGGCGGGCTGTGAGGGTACAAGTGGCATGCCCCAATCAAGTCCCGGGGGCTGACTTCCACAGCTACGTGCAGGGAGCTACAGGTCCTGCACTCCAGAAGGCAGTCCCTCGTCTGCGTGCAGAAAGCTGAGTGCCAGGGAGCATGTATTACACCTGAGAAAGCCCCTCTAGAAACCTGAGTGTCCCTAGAAGGGGTGACGTCTCATGTGGGATGTAGCTGGATGTAAGAACCATCCAGAAGTTGCTGGAACATGTTCTTCCAGTATCTGAGGGTCCAGGTGACATGGCCAAGGACCTGAAATGTGACGATGGAGCACTGGGGGCACATATGGCAAGTGCCTCTCTCTACCTCCCCTGCTGCCCACAGGGACCTCTGTCTAGGCCCAGACCACCCCACTCTCTCTCCCTCAGCCCCTTCTTTGCTTTGTACCCAACACCGCCTTGCATTTTGGGGTCAGTTGTTGGTCAGGGCCTCCCTCAATTCCTGCTCCAACTTACCCGTGTCCACATTCTTGCTTCTCCCCTGTCCACGTGGCATCGTAAACCCTGACCCCCGTCGTGTACCCTGGGGCCACCCTCCCTGCCTGTCCACTCAGGGCCAGGGCCTTTAAGAACAGCGTCTTCTCTGCCTCCCGTCTTAAGCCTCTTGTTCCCTCAACATTCTCAACCCATCACACTTCTCTCATCTTAAAGAGCTCCTCGGTCACAAGGACATGTTGATCGCACCCTCTGAACGTCCATCAGATCTGTCGTGTTTTACTCCATCCCAACAGCCACCTCTTGGGGCCACCATTGCCTCGAGCCGGAGATGGCATTCATCGACCGACACCTTCCCCCGTCCCTAGTTTTGCCCCTTCTAATTAATTCTCTAGGCTGCAGGCAGAATGACCGTCCTAAAGCACAATTCTGACCAGGCCATTCCTCTGCTTAAAACCCTCCACCAGCTTCCTCTTCACCTTAAGAAACGGGACCACCTGCTGTGAAGCCTCTGAGCCCAGGACTGGCCCAGGGCTCCTCCCTGGCTGCCCCCTTGCCTCTTGCCAGTGAATGTTCCAGTTCTGGCCACACGAACCCACTGTGTTTCCTTGAAGGAGCCAAGTTCTCTCATCTCTGGACCCTCCCTTCTTTCTGGGATACTCCTTCTTCTCCACCTCCCTAGCTTGGCCACTGCTTCTCATCCCCCAGGGGCCTGCGGAAATGGCACCTCTGGGACTGACTGGACATTTCTTCTGATTCTTTTCTCTGATGACCAATTCCTGGCTCTGCACTATGGCCAGCCTCGGTCTCCAATCCTATTCTGGCCAGAGTACTCCCCTAATTAAAAGCTTTCCATGTTTCTCATTGTCCTGAGGACAAAGTCCAAATTCCTTGGCTAGGCTGACAGGGCCATTCCACAAAGGGGAGGGAAGGGAGAGCTATTTGGCAGGAGCAAGGGGGAAGGTTTCCCACCATGGGGCTGTCACTTTCTCGTGGTAGGGAGGCCAAGCCTCCTGCAGAGGGTGGTGTTCTGGGGGTGACCCTGGGGTGTGAAAGGTCATGGAGAGAACTTGGGAGCCGCTGTGGAAGCAGGAGCCCACCGGGGAGGAACAGTGTAAGCGATGAGTAGCATTGCAGACCAGTCGAGGTGGGTGATGAGGGACCCATGGTGACCCCAGGCTGCCTGGCTGTGCAGCAGGTGCAGTGAAGGCAGGTCTCTCCAATAACCAGTCACTGTGAGGCAGCAGGTGCAGTGAAGGCAGATGGGAAGGGATTGGTTGGGACCAAAGGACAGGGAGGGGGCGGGGGGCTAAGGAGCTGAGGACTCTGTCAAGGAGCAGGTGAAATGATGGGTCATGGAAACTTAACCAGAAGGGAGATGAAGACAGGAGGGGCCAGGGGATGGCTGGTTGCAGTGTGGCCCAAGATGGGATTTAGGGAGATGCTCTGAGCCAACAAGCTGGGGGTACCAGGTCCTGGGAAGTCAGCTGTAGTGACTGCAGAAGTAGCGGCATTTCCGCCCTGCCCGTGCATCCACCCAGCTCCTACCCAGACCCACGTCCTACTGGGTGTGTAGGTACTACTCCACTGCCCTTTGGAATGGCCCTCTGGGGGTAGGGCCATGGTCTTTACCTGGCGTCCTTCCCAGGGGAGCTCAAGGAAGGCCTTGCCTGTGGTGGCTGCTTATTGGGACATTGGTGTGATGTAACCTGGCCCCCCACCCTTTCTTTAGGCCTGTGCTTCTGTTTTCCTTTAGTTTTTTTTTTTTTTTTGTAGCATTTTATTTGTTTGTTTTCTTCAAATAAACCTTCTGCTCCTTATTTGGGTTTTTAAAAGTCATCACTAGGCCCAACAAGGGACTCAACCTCATGACCCCAAGATCAAGAGTGGCATGCTCCTCCAACTGAGCCAGCCAGGTGCCCTTCCTTTAGTTTTTGGGGTTTTTTTTTAAAGATTTTATTTATTTATTCACGAGAGACACACAGAGAGAGGCAGGCAGAGAAGCAGGCTTCCTGCGTGGAGCCCAATGTGGAACTCGATCCCAGGACCCCGGGATCAAAACCTGAGCCAAAGGCAGATGCTCAACCACTGAGCCACCCAGGCGTCTCCCTTCCTTTAGTTTTTTTATTTTTATTTTTTTTCCTTTAGTTTTTTTAAAGGAAATCTCATGAAAGAGTCTAACCCTGTTTCAGCTGAAAAGAAACAGGAATTCTCCCCACATGAACGGACGGAGAGGCGGTCTGTGGTCCTCTGATGAGAATGGCGGCTCCCTCTTGGGAGCCCTGGAAGAGTGAGGATTCAGGGACAGAAAGATTCAGGGCCAGGAGTGGACAGTGGCCTAAGTTCCCGACCTGTCCTTGTTCTGGGTAGGGCATACACACTGCCATCCAACCAAGCTGAGTCCTTCACCCACTCAGTAAAGCACCCACTATGCGTCAGGCCCACCTTGGGAATAAGGGATGTGCAGAGAAGCGACACCCATGTCCTGCCAGCAGGACCACCTGACTAAGGAGACAGGTGCGCAGGGAAGGAAGTGCAGACTGGCGTCTACAGTTGGGGGTATGGACGTAGGAAATGGGCACCTTGTTAGTCTAGGGGGCAGGTGTGTCATTGGGGAGATACTGTAAGTTTCCCTGTAAGGACAGCACTGGGTTGCAACCTGGAGCTTCCCGGGTGTAACCTGAAATTGGCCCTGGCCCTTGGGGGGCAGGAAGAGACCCAAGACAAAGATGGGGACAGGTTGGGGGCTGGCAGGTGTAAGGGGCACGGGAACTTACTTATGAGGCTTTTCTTGGGTGATTCTCGGGGAAGTGGGTGTGAGTAGATCTCAGCACCTGCCTGTCAGATCTTACACCGAGGCCTTAACTGGGTTCAGTGTCCTGTGCCACCCAGATAGTCTCCTGGCGACATCCCTGTCTCGAGGCTGTATCCTTGGGGCAGCTTCTAGGAGCCGGGCTGGCAAGTGGGACACACATTTCAAGGACAAGAGAAGGGGTGAAGAGCCTCCCGGTGCCTGGGTCAACGGGGGGGGGTCACCCTGCATCCCCTTCCCCCCCACCTCCCCTAACACTGCAGCTCAAGTATATGTATGTGGTGGGGTTGGGGGGGAGGTGAACTGAGGAAGAAAAGAGTAGAAGTAGGGAGCCCCCCCCCCCCCAGCCAGGGGAGGCTGCACAAATCACGCATAGCCAGGAAGGGCGCTGGAGTCTGCAGGTGGTGATGTGTTCTCAGGGCATGAGGTGGGGAGGGAGCGAGGTGCTGGGCGAAGGCCATACCCCCCAGGTGAGATGAGGAGCTGGGTCGGGATGAGGACGAGGGGATCCCAGGTTGAATATGCAGGGTCTGAGATGCCACAGTTCCCGGGGAGGCTCTGCTGTCCTTGGTGCACCCGGACACGGCCTCTTGTTTCCACTCACCCTGCTGGCAACACCCTTCCCCCATCCATCAGCTCCCAGGTTTCTCCAGGAGGAGCCCCCAGATCTTGGTCCCTGAAAGCAATTTCCTTCTGTCAGAGCACTTACAGGTGCTCTACGCTCAGTGCCCCTGGACACCTGCCTCTCTGGGGGCCTGGCGGGGGAGGGGGGCCACCCCACCTGAGCAGCAGGGAGTGATGAAACCTGGCGGCTCCTGGTGCTCTCCCTCCCGCGGGAGGTGATCGTGATCACTGCCACCCAGGAAGTTCTGCGCTGGAGGTGGGTGATGCCTTCCAGGGCTGACCCCAAGCAGGAAGTGACTCTTCCCACCCAGGGGGCTTTCGGACAACCCTCCCATGCCTGAGGGGGTGGGGTGCAGGTGTGCAGAGGAGGGTCAGCCAGTGGAGCAACTGCACCGGCCAAGACGGTCTGATCCTAGAGGTGGGGTAGGGAGCTGCAGCCTCCAGAGAAACCGGCTGATAAACCCCCAATTCTTAAGGCTTTATCTTGAATCAGCACAGGAGCAAACGTGAAGGACTCAGTGTACACGCCCCTCTCCACCCCCCAAATAGAAACCCTCCACCTTCCCGAGGCTGAGCGTCCCCTCACCCCCACTCCCCTCCACAGGACCTAGAGAAGCCACAGGCCTGGGGGGGACCGGGCAGGGCACATCTGCCAGCTCGAGTTAGGCAGTGTTCCCAGTGGAAGGGATGGCTGGTCGGGGGGGCCCTGGGAGGGGAAGGAAGGTCTCTCGGTGAGATGGTGAGGGACAGTCACAATGATGGTGACCCCCACTTTTATTTCACACCTGCCAGGTGCCTGCCCCTCCTATACACGATGTCACGTGGTCCTCACCATTGGTCACCATGATCACGACTGTGACTCTCTGGAACCTGAGGCTCTGGGAGGTTAAGTCCCTTGCCCAGGGCCCCCAGCTGGGGAGTCATGGACGGGGGATCCCATTCCAGTCCTGTCATATTGCGGAGCCCGTGTTCTTTCCACCTGGTCACCAGTTAGGTGACCACTCTCATGGTCTGTGAAGAGTCACCGGTGTGGTCTCTGGGGGCGGGAAACAGTCACTCCTGGGAAACCCCTCATCGGTGCTACAAGGCAGGGTTGGATTCGAGGGCTGTTGAGAGTGGGTGCCAAGGATCTTCAGGGACCCCGATGACAGACAGGTAGACTCCGACCGCTCCATGGTCACAAACCCCGAGTTCCAAGGAGACCCAAGCACGCCTTCCTGCGGCACGGATGTGTGGGGACACGCAGACTCTTCAGCACAGGTCACGCAACCCCACAGGGGGTGGGCAGTCCTGGGGACACGTGCATGCCCACGTGCACTCCCTGCACGCGTCCCCGCAAGCGTGCCCCCACTCCCACCCACCCTGTGGGTGCTGGGCAGCTTGTGGAAAGGGGGAGCTCGCCGGCGCCTGGTCAGATGAGGCTGGCGATGCTGGACGTGGTCTCGTGCCGCTGGCCAGCAGACAGCTGTCCCGAGATGCTGAGGACGCTGCCGTCGCTGCGGGCGGAGGGGGCCGCGGCAGCGGGGAGCGGGGGGCAGTGGCTGCTGACGCCCACCTGGTACAGCAGCAGGCCCAGCAGCAAGAGCGAGCCCGAGGCCGCCAGGCCGATGCCCACGGAGAGCATGGCAGCCAGCGGCCGCGCAGGGGCGGGGGCGGCGGCCAGCCCCGCCAGGGTCAGGCCGGTGACCAGCACCACCAGGCCGCTGAGCAGCACCACCAGCGCGTCGGCGCCCCCGCCGCTGCGCAGCAGGGCCACGTGCTGGGGCTGGCGGACGCAGTTCATGTCCTGCACGGCCGAGCTCATCAGCTGCTTGACCAGGACCAGCAGGGCCAGCAGGCAGAGCACTGTGCCTGCCGCCAGGCGCCACTCGCCCGAGCGGCTGCTGGTGGAGGACAGCAGGGCCACACCGCCCGCCCCGCAGCCCGCCACCAGGAGCACGGCCACCGCGAAGCAGAGCGCCGAGCGGCGCGGCTGCTGGGACCACCAGAGCTCCACTTGCTCGGCCAGCATGTCGGGGGGCAGCCCCCGGCCCGGCGGGGCTGGAGCCTCCCCTTCAGACATGGCAGGGGGCCGGGTGCAGGGCGCAGGGCAGAGCCAGGGGGCCCGGGGTGCGGGTCATGGCCTAGAGCCCCCACCAGCTGCTTGGCAGCCCGAGGCCAGGGGTCTGGGTCCTCTCCCAGCCCAGGGCACACTCTCCAGCACCTGCAGGGGGATCACGCTGTTACCTGCCCAGCCCACTCGCCCTGGAGAGCCTCCCTGGGAGCCTCGGGGATGATCCCTGGGAATCCGCCCCAGTGTCCCCCGCACTCCGTCCCCACCCGCCACACCTCCTCCCCAGCACTGCCACTTGGGAATGCCTCTCCAGTGACCCCAGGAGGGTTCCCCCACATGACACGTCCCCCACCCTGCCAGGGGAGCCCCTGACCTCTCTGGCTCTCTCAGGTGCCTGTCCCATCCCGGCGGCCCGAAGGAGCTGGTGCCACAGTGGATGATGGGACCAAGAGCAGAGATAAAGCCTCATTCAGGATCGGACTCACATGGCCTCAGCTGTCACCGCTGGCTCCTGGGGGAGGGCTGTGGGGAGCAGGGGGGACTTACGACTTAACCCTTCTGGAACCAGCAGCCTGACCCTGAGCCTTCTCTCTGGGAGCTGCAGCTACTTCTCTGGGGGTCGGGATCTAATCCCTACCTCTCTCCTTCCCCAACATCTCATAGGATTTCCCACCTGTGGCTGTCGGTGCCCCAATCCCTCTCTCCCTCACACCCAGATCTCCCTCCTAAGCTCCAGACCCATAAGCCAATTGTTCCCAAGTCATCTCTGACGCAACAGGTCCCAACCCAAGCTTGTCACCTTAGCCTGGACCTCCTCCTCCTCCTCTCATGTTTCTTACTTCCTCGTGGAATGCAGGTCCCAGGGAGGCCACCTGTAAACAGTCCCTGCTTCCATCCCCACGGCTCCTGCCTCATCACCCCCACCCACGCCTGTCTTCCTGCCTCCCGTCTTTCTCCACTCTCCCTCTCACCAACGCCCCCATGCCACCCTCCTCCATGATTTCTCTAAAGTGGGGCGAAGGGAGGAGGGCTCTGTACGGGAACCCCAGCTGCTGTCCTTACCACCCATGGGACTGGGGCAAAGGACCTGACGGTGGTTACTCGTTTCACATTTAACCTTCCTCTACAGGCCAATCAGCGTGACTCAACTGGGCAAAAAAAAGCAGCCGTGGTCCCTGCCCTCAGGGAGCTCTGGCTTGCAGCAGGTGCATATATGTGATAAATGCCGGGTGTGGGTTAGCTGGAAGAGGGGCCTAGGGGAGGGTCAGAGAATCCCCAGATGAGTTCACCTCTTAGAACCTCAGTCTCCTTATTGGAAAAATGAGGACAAGAACATTTATCTTGAAGGATGGGAGCGAGTCATCTGACATCTCCGCTTCAAAATTCCAATGTGAATTCTAGGACCTGCATAGATGCCCAAAGAATGCCTCCTCGAATAAAAGAACACAATGCTCTCCTAATTCAGGATAGGACTCCTGCTGTATACGTAGATCCAGGAATGTGATGAACGTGGCTGTACAAGGGTTTACCACCCCCACCCTGCCCCAGGAGGAGTCTGTTCTTCACACCCCCACCCCCTTCTGCAGGGGCAGCCTAGCACACAGGCTGGGAGGAGCAGGTGCAGATGCCCCTAAGGGAGGTGGGGGCGGGGTCTTGGGAGGGGACCTGGGGTCAGTCCCAGTGTTCCCCAGGTCTGTGACTTCACTGGTCTGAAAGTGCTTGCACAGGTGTGCTGGGGCAGTGGGGCCAGGCTGCGGGTGGGGCGGAGGTTCTTGGGCAGAGCCAGCGGGAGAGAGTGGGGGCGGTGGGGGTCAGGGGACCATGGGGCACTCACAAGAAGCCTGGAAGCGCTGGATCCGATCGGAGCAGACAGGGCCAGGCAGGTGGGGCGCTCCAGCTCCGTTTCCGGGGAGGTGCTTCACCTGCCTAACCTGGTCCAGGTAAGCCCTGGGGGTGTGCGTGGGGGGAGGGGGATCAACAGGTGTTTCCAAGGCAGGGCTTTGAGCCGATTGGCTGACGTGGCACAGCTCCATCTGCTGGGCTGGAGGCATTCCTGGGAAGGGAGGGGCTTCTGTCCGCCGCTGTTAGGGCTCGAACACAATTCCCAGATCCGGGCAGCAGGAGGAATGTTCTCTATCTGCTCCAGAGCCTGGACCCTAACTCATCCCCCGCTCCAAGCCCAGCTTAGCTTTAGCTCCAGCCTAAACCTAACCCCGACCCCAGCTGCACTTTCAAACTCTAACTAGATTTCCCAGCTCCGACTGCAACCCCTACCCCATATCTCAGCCCCAACCCCCCAGCCCCATTTCCAAACCCAATTCCTGCCCCGGCTTCAAATCCCAACCACAAATCTGGCCTGAAACCTCAGCTCCAGATTCTGGAATTAGACCCTAGACCACGACCTTGATCCTTGTTCCTGAATTCAGCCCCCAAATCCCAGTCTCAAATCCCAACACCAGCTGATCCCCCAACCCTGGCCCAGTACCCTCATCCTTGGACTGGAGCTCCGACAGGCCCCTTGCTGGGTCTCCTTTAAAGCCCTGACACCTTGGGCTGGCCTGGATGCGGCACCTGCTGGGAGAGGTGGGGCTTCAGGTCCCCCAGAAGAGGGCAAAGGCTTTTCAGGTGTGAAACAGGAGTTTCCTGGCTTAAAACTCTTGCAGAATAAACACTTCAGGATACATGCCACACTCCTTTGCAGGCTCACATAGCCCCTGGCATCTGCACACGCGCCAGTCATTTGCCACTGGCCCCTGCCCTCCAGCCGGGTGGCATGTCATTCAGTTCTCCGTGCTCTGTCCACTGCTTTGTCCTTCCGGCTGGTTTTTGAACTCCTAGTTCCCATGCACGGTGGTATTTACCACCATCCTGCCTCAGCCTGGCCAACTGAGATTCTTCAACTGTGAGATCATCTTCTCCAGGAAGCCCTCTTGGACTTCTAGGCTGGTCCAGGGGAACAGAGTTCATAAGCGGCCTCGTGCCTCCCCCACAGCTGCTCTTAAGCGTGCGCCGTAATTGCCACTATTTACTCACTCGTCATCCCCCACTACACGGTGGTCTCAGTAGTCCGGTTTGCTAACCACTGTGACTTTCGTAGCTTGCACTTTGCCTAACACGGGGGAAGTAATGATAAATATTTGTTGAATGAATGAATATGTGAAGTGATAGGGGCAGGCAGCCCGTGAGATAAGGCTGGAAGGACAAGTTTGGCAGGTTGCATGGGGACGTGCATGCCGTGGCAGGGCCTCTGGGCTCCTCTGAGGTGCCCCTGGAAGATTCTGAAGCCTAACAGGGACATGGCCAGGGCTCTGCTTCTGACAGCTGAACCTGGCAGCGCCTAGGTTCAGCTTTGGATGGTTGCAGGGGGGCCCCCACTTGGAGGTGGTTGCAGGCTGTCACCCATTTCCTGGATTGGGTCCCTTGTAATGCCCCCTGCCCTCTCTCCTTCTGATGTGTATCAAATAGACAAGAAAGACAAAGTCAAAGTTTTCTTCCCAGCACCAGCTCACGAAATACTCATGCTTGACCCTTCTGTGCCTCTCTTTGCTTTGCTCTGTGGAGATGATGCAGGAGCCAGCCACAGCCTTGGAGCCGTGCTGTCAGAGTATAACGTGAGCCGCAGATGTGATTTATAAATCTAGTAGGGACGCCTGGGTGGCCCAGCGGTTGAGCATCTGCCTTGGGCCCAGGGTGTGATCCTGGGGTCTCGGGATCTGAGTCCCACGTCGGGCTCCCTGCACGGAGCCTGCTTCTCCCTCTGCCGGTGTCTCTGCCTCTCTTCTGTGTCTCATGAATAAATAAATAAATAAAATCTTAAAAAAGAAAGTCAGACCTTATTCTTATTAAAAAGATAAAACAAAAAATAAAAATCTTCTAGTAGCCCTGTTACAAAGGTTAAAAAAAGAAAAAAAAAGGTGAAAATAATCTATGAAAATTTTTATTTAACCCCCTAATATTTTTCATTTTAGGGAATGATTATGATTTATGATTATGATTTTCATTTAGTGAAGGATGACACACAATTACTAAGCTACATCACTCTTATTTTGTGCTTCTCAGTTCAGACTAGCTATGTGGCAAACGTGCAATTGCCACATGCGGCTCACGGCTCCCTGACAGGGGATAGTGCAGATCCGGATGGCTCCTCCCCTCAAGGAAAAGTCAGGGCAAGCTGCCTGCTGTGAGGCCGGCTGGCTCTCAGGGAGGACCATGTGGGTATGCCACTTGGGCAAAACTTTATAAAGGCATCCCCTGCCCTGGGGCGCAGGGCGGGGAGGGTCAGGGCTCCAGGTTGTGAACTCCTCCTGCTGACTTGCTGATTTCTAGCAATTATTTACCCTCCTGGTCCCATGGAGGGGTCAGCCCTTCCAGACTTGTGGTCCAGATGTCCTGGATGGAGCTAGGGCAGGGGAACTCATGAAATTTTCCCTCCCTTTCCCCTGAGGGGTTTGGTTTAAACAGAACTTTTTGGATGGTGATAACCAAGCCTAAAAGATTCCTAAGCTTAAACATTGATGGAGTGAGTCTTTGTTCTCGGTCTGGGTCTTGTCAAGTAAGGCTGCAGTCCAAGTGGATAGGCAGGCTCCTTGCAGGGCTTTTGAACTCTGTCCCCCAAACTGGGGGCAGCTCAGATGGGCAGTAGTGAAAGCTGGGAGTAGGAGATGGCAGTGGGCGCAGAGTGCAGGATGTGGATCAGATAGCTGTTGGACTGTGAGAGTTCTGAGATGCCCACTCTCCAAAGAGAGGCCCTGTGGCCCCGTCTCCCTGCTGCCACAATCCCACCACAGGCTACTATCGCCCTGGTCGCTGGGCTGACCCCCTTCTAATGCAGAGCACGTGATGTCACTTCTGCTGCCTCCGGTATCTCTTCTTCTGCAGAGAAACAGCAAAGTCCTCCTGGATGGCTAGGGCCTCTCTGATTTCATCCAGTTGTCCCTCCCCGACTTGCTCTTGCTGTGACACAGCCTTTGCATAGGCTGTTCCCTCTGCCTGGCATGCTTTTCTCTCCACGTGACTCCCTCCTGCACCTTACTTAGGTCAGGGATGTATGTGCTTGAACATCACCTCAGCGAGAAGCCTTCCCAGCCACCCTGTCTACAATCACAACCTTCTCCTACCTCCTAGCCCCTGGCCCTATTTTATTTCCTTTATTCTCTTAAGTTTCTCGGTAGTAATTACCACCTCGCAGTATGCTATGTATTTCTCTTACCTGTCTGGAATATTGTCTTTCTACTCCCCTAAAATGTAAGCTTCATGACCGAAGAGATGTGAGTCTGATCCGTGTCCCCCTCCAGCTCCTAAAATAGGCTTGGCATATATAAGAGGTGCTTGGTGACTGCTTGTGGAGTAAATGGTGGAAAGCCTACTGGTTTTGGAGCTAGACTGACCTTGAAGTGTCAAGCCCCCGCTCCAGCTGTGCAACCTTAGAAAACCTGCTTAAACTCTATGTGTTTCAGCCTCTCCATTTGTAAAATGGGGAATTAGTATTAATAGTTGTGTGTATGAGATTAAATAATATAATTATAATCTTGATTAACTCCAGCAAACAGTTACCATTTCCCTTCTTTGTCTTCCCACCCGGTGTGCTAGAGACATAGTGGTGAGCAAAAGAGGTGCTGTCTCCGCTATCCTGAAGGGCAGCCTGGAGCATAAGAGGCATAGACTACGGTCTGCAGCTCTAGCCAACACACCCACCCCCTCCCCAACCTCCGTGCTCCTTGAGTGACAACTGCCTCAGAGGGACATGTTTTGGAGCCTCTGCCCTGCTCACAATGACCACCTTCACAGCAGGGATGAACCCCAGCAACCAGGATTACTTTTTGTGACCCATCCCCTGGGTGTGGATAGAGGTGAGCCCCAGACTCAAGCAAGGCCAAAAGTACTTCTCTTTTGTCATTTTAAAGTCGGACTAGAGATTCCATTTCAGCTTTGGGGTGTGTGCTAATAAGATGCTGAGGCATCTTCTGCTCCCCCAACTGGGAATGGAAACTGGTCTGCAGGGAGGATGAGAGAGAGAGGAGTGGCTCCAGCCAGGCCTTGGTTCAAGTTTTTCTTGAGGCCTGGTTGTATCTCTGTCCTGAGATTCCTGAGACCCGCCGTCCCCACCCCCCCGCCAACACACACACACACACACACACACACACACACACACACACACACACCCTTGCCTGGCCCAGTGATAAACTTCCCCTTTGGGCTTAAACTGGCTGGAGTTGGGTTTCATTACTTGTAGCTAAAGAAAGGCATCCAGAATTCTGTTCAGAACTAGACTCTCGTAGTCCCAACTTCAATATATTTACTACATCAGTACACATAGGAAGTGCTAGGCGAGTCCTACACCTTCCACCCCTGCCAAATCCCAGCATGTGACACACACAGGATGATCAATACACACCAATTCTTGTCTGTGATTGGTCAACGTAGGTGATCAGGGAAGGTTAGTTCTTCCGGCTGCCTGGTGCATGGCAGGGTTACTTCCTTGTAAATCTGCCCCCCAGCCCAGCCCAGCTCTGGGGAGTCCTCATCTCAGGTGTGCTCAGAGCATAAGCAGGCCTTGGACCTCCGATGGTCTAGGGGAGCTGCCCCAAGAGAGCTCAGGAAGAATGAACACCACTCCTGGGCCTCACGTCCTTTGCTCTAAACTCTCACTACTCCAAATCCAATGATTACAAGGGAGTCCTACCTGGAAGCGCAGTGGTACCCAGGCCTCCCAGGGCCCCCAGGCACTTCCTGGGAGCAGCTGTTTGGTCATGCTCTGTGTAAAAAGCAGTGGGGAAAGGTAGATGCTAATGCTAGAACTCCTGTGGGGCAGGGTCTTCAGTGCAGGAGAACAGGCTGGCAGAGGAGGCTCAGCAGGGCAGTTCACGCTGCCTGGCCACAGCGGATGCTGACTCCAGAGGAAGGGCAGGGGAGCCAATGGATGGCCGG